TTGGTTCCAAAAAAAAAAAAAAAAATTGCCGCCTTAAAAATATAGAAGTTAACTTATAGTATATTAAAAAGGGGGCAAATTTTTTTTTTTCATTTGAGACAGGTATGTATATTAATAAATATACCTGTTTGAGATACTCGTGCCTGTGTCCACAATAATCCTAAAAAACGATTCCTGTGTAATACTGAATAAACAGTGTGTCACCCTGTTGAATTCTCAGCTAATTTGCATAAATCGACAGGGTGACCAGCACCATTCAGCCTGTTCATGTTTTGTCTTACATAATAGCTTCCAGTCTCAGCTGAATTTATTATATGCTTGTCTCAACTTAGCTAAGCAAAATTAATTGGTAAGTTTGGGAAATTATTCGGATGCATCTACTTTGCACTCTGAAGGTAATTAATATTACCTGTAGTTATTAATTGATTGAAACCTTTTTTATTTAGAATTAAATTATCTAATGTAAAGAAAAAAATTTAAAAAGCAAAAAAATATACTTGGTTAAAAGTTTCCATAAATGATTATACAGACTGCCTTGTGTCTGTAGTTTATTGACAAATTATGTTTACACTGAAGTGAATAAAAATGATTATCTTTTGAGTAAAGGGTTGAACAGGTATGAAAGTAAGTTATATAGACATTTAATTATAAGTATTTATTGATATATTGGTGTATCGTTCATACTTATCTGATATCAATATATTGTTGAATCAATGACAGCTCTAGTTTTAAATCCATTTTTAACAAATTTATTGGAGTCATACTGTAGAAAAAAATGTCAGAAATTTACCATTTATATTAATTTTTTTAAGTACACTTGACTATTTTATTGTAATTACCATTATGTTTAATGGGATTTTAAGCAACAAAGTTGAAATAGCATTTCAAAATAACAGTAATTTGGACAAATTTCAACAGCTTTGGCATTGAATGATATCTTATTTTCTAAGCATAAATCAAAAGAAAAAATACATTATTTATTGACACTTAGGCCTGCATGACAAATACATGGTCTGATTGCTTGTGCAGACAAGTTGCGGTGCACATGACTTGTAGATATAGATAGTTACAAAGTATTATTCGATCATGTGATACTAGATAGATGTTATGTAAATTAATGCATAGTTAGTCAATTACTTGATAGGATTGAAGTTAAATTGTTTTGTGACAGCAATAAAGGTTAAAGGGACTCCACTCAGATTTTTGACATGACGGGATTGGAAATATTTTTCCAAGATTTGTTTAGCATTAAAAGTAGGTCTGGACCAGTAACTTGTGTGCAAATTTTCAGATCATTCCCTCACCCCGTTTTCCCTTAATAAACATTTTTTATAATATTTTGCAAATTGACCCAAAAATGAAAAACAGTACCATGCTTTTCACTCTTATCTTGCTAAGAATCGGTAAAAATTACAACTTTTAATTGATTTCAGAGTATATTTTTTTTATTTTCCTTCGCAGATTTTTCCATTTTAACTGCTTCACTTGATCTATGAAAGAATTCAAAATTTTATGTTTTATGCTTTCAGGTTATTGGCCAATGAGTAAAAGTTTTTAAAACTAATTTAACAGGACACCAAACAAAAAAATCTTTTGAGAAATAAAAGCATTTCCGTAGCATAAAGGGCCTTTAATTTTGAGATGTTAAGATTTGGAGCTTGATCAAATTGAACCCTGACTCTTGTACTATACCTGTTTAGCTTTGGGTTTTTAAATTTTATAAACTCAATGGGGCATATATAGCAATCAAACAGCCATTATGTATAATATTATAAATGAAAGTTCAATTTAAATGCCTGTAGTGGTGATGATGGAAAAGTTGTTAAATGGAAAGTTGTATTTTTATATGTAAATAGGATTCTCTCATAAGTTTCCTTATTAAAAATGTTTATCTTGCCGTGCTTTCAGAACATATGACAGACCTAGTGAGAAGCTGCAACCTGAAGATCTACCAACAAGTTTTGATTGGAGAAACAAGGATGGTAGAAATTACGTCAGTACAACAAGAAATCAGCATATTCCTCAATGTAAATAAAATTTCTTGATTTTTATGCTTTCATTTAGTCGCCTCTTTCCATGTAGTTACATCCTTGTCAGTTAGGCTATTTTAACTAAATAGGGGGCCATGTAACTATAAGACAGTTTACATCATTCAGTAACAATTGAACAATTGGGCCAATTCTATGTTAAACAAAAGAATGTTATAATAGTATTGTCCCATATTCTATTTAAACAGCATGTCTATCTGAGCAAAAAAAATTCATGGTTTATGAATTTAATTCTTTTATACATAATGTAATTTTGGTAAAAAAGAAAAAAAAAACATATATACAGTCGCAACCATGTTTCTTCATATGATACCAGAAGTTTAGAGAAGTAGGCCAATTCATGATAGACCACAACACTATAGTTTAAGATGTATTTAGTATTTAATCCTATTCCTATTTCTAATATAGATTGTGGATCATGTTGGGCGATGGGCTCTACCAGTGCTCTAGCTGATCGGATTAACATTAAGAGAGGTGGGGCATGGCCTTCTGCTTATCTCTCTGTGCAAAATGTGATTGACTGTGGAGGGGCGGGATCTTGTGAGGGTGGAGACGACAGAGGAGTGTATGAATATGCCCATAAGTCTGGTATCCCAGATGAAACTTGCAACAATTATCAGGCAAAAGATCAAAGTAAGCTTTTTACTTGAATATTTTTTTAGAATATATTAAATTGTATGTGTTGATTTCTCTAGATTTACTGTTGTATTAACCTACTGAATCAATTTCATTGCCCATGAGAGTAAAAAAAATCATTATCTTTTGAATATTGGTCATTGGAATTTGCATCTTGTTAATCAGTCATTGAAATTTGCACAATTTAATTGGTCAATGGAATATGTTATCTATTAAAATGGTCATTGAAATTTGTTTTCTGTTTATATCTGTTAAATTAGTCATTGTAATTCTGGTCCTTGGCAGCTCTATGTTATGCTGAGTTAGCCAGGAAGTGTAGCCATGTTCTACTACTTAATTAAATCTTTCAAATTTAATATTACATGTACTTTGGGAAGTGTTGATTATCATTAGTGATTTTCTATGCATTTTATTTGTCAATGTAGTACAATTTTTTGTAAGATTTTTTCACAGTAAAAACATCCAGAGTCATTTGTGTTGTATTCATTTTCACAGTAGTGTGAGGCAATAATTTCAAAATTGGCAACCTGAAATTGATTCCACCGGTCCCATTTAGAAAGATGACTGAATATATTAAATATTGTGTTGACATTATGAATGATAAGTTAAGATTTTATAAAAATTCTATAGGAGAGGAAAAAAATTTTATACCAGTTATGCAAGTGCTGATAAGAAATAAATGTCTAATATATATGTATATGAGGTTGTGTAATGCTGTACCAGTGTCCACATAACTGGATCAAATTACCATGATAAGTGATATGTTAACTAACTGGGTAACCCAATACAATACAAGTTAATCAATTAACACAGATAAATAATATCATTCACCATAGTATGTCAGTCATAGTTATCAAATTAAATACAGTTAAAAATGTCAAGTTGCATTACAAAGGACAATTATTTAATTATTATTAGAAAGTCATCTATTTAACTAGAGCAGTAATGCAGTGATAGGACGGTTGTTTTAGAATAAAGAGGTCACTGATTTTTTAGAATAAAGAGGTCACTGATTCAAGTCATATCAGGGACTCTGCTAATTTCCTTGAGAAAGAAATGAACTTCATAGATCATAGTATAGAACCTAAAAGAACAAATTAATGAAATTCCTGATAAAGTAGATTGCACATGTGTAAAGTCACTGCCTAATTGAAAAATACATACATTACATTGTACATTTATTCAGGCAACTTTTTCGTCATAGTAAGATGTATTTCAATACCAACTATCACAGGATTTTTCATCTGAGAAGGGGAAACGTTTTTTTGGAAATGGATAATTCCCCTGTCTGTTGGTATAACACAAACCAGTGGTAGTGGGCATGAGTGATGTTGCACTTTTTCATTAACCCACATGATTGTACAGACTCAATCGAACCGAGTCTGCAATTTTCGTGTAATTTTGTTGTGATTAATGCTTCTGTGAGGTCACATTTTATCCAGATTTTTGTATTTTATTTATTATTTCAGAATGTAATACATTTGATCAGTGTGGTACATGTACAACATTTGGTAAATGTAAAAGTCTGTCAGTGTACAACGTAACCAAGGTAGCAGATTATGGCCCTGTGTCTGGAAGAGACAAGATGATGGCTGAAATATATGCAAGTGGACCAATCAGGTTTGTTTTTATATAACTTTATTTGGCCGGTTAAACCAATGAGAATTATGTTGACATAAAATGCTGTTAGATATACCAACACATAATATTTTGGCTCATTTAACCGGAAGTAAGACATCTAGACCCCTTGACTTCTCGACCCCTTAGGATATTAAGATGACATCTAGACCCCTTGACTCTTAGACCCCTTGTAAGATGACTTTTCGACCCCTACTGACTAAGACATTTCGACCCCTGTTTTAAATGTTAGACCGTAAAAGAACCATAAATATATTTTGAAAATATTGTAAGACTTTTATATAATATTTAATTTTTTTCTTTAAATTTATATGTTTTTTTGAAATATTAGTTGCAAAATTTACATTTTTTAAATTTAATTTTGGTGATTAATAAACAAATCACAGTTTTTATTTGTTTAATTATTGACTAAAATCGGATTAAAGTCCCGTGGTTTAATGTAATGGTGCTAATTTCTAATTACGTCATTAGCGCATTAAGTAACAATCATTTTTTAGATATATAACATCGTGCGTAACAAATAATCTTTGATGTTATAGAAAGTCTTTGCTAATTACTTTCACACATTTTTTAATCATATCATTTACTCAAACTTGTGACGATATACATAAAAACGCGAATTTTCTACATCAATTCAGTTTTATTATTAAAATTAAGCGTGTTTCCTATTAATATTGCCTCATAAATAGTGAAGGAATAGTATTACAGACTTTTTTGTGTGTATATTTCTCATAATCATATTACTTTATTAAATGATAATTTATTAAATGATAATGTCGGTTTTGTGTATTGCGTGCGAGGAGACTGTTCGTCCTTTACAACATGCCGTCACATGTGACATTTGTGAGAAGGTGCAACACAGAACCTGCAACACTGGTTAGTAATGTTTCATTTTTCAGTTTATTGTTTTGTAAGACGTGATAATAAATGTTACATTGGCAATGAACGTTTATACTAAATGAAATATTGAATTGTGTGTAATAGTTTACGGAAATGTAATTATTGACTGCGTAATAATTAACGGAAGCTGACCCCATATTTATCAAAGTAAAAAAATACTATCAGTAATTTTAGGTAAATGATATAGTTGAAGATATATTTATTGACTGACTTGGTCTGTCAGATATTTACAAAAATATATATGACTCACTACTAAAACAATTAAAATTTCCTTTTTTGCAACAGTGAAAATTAGAATGAGTGTGCTTCAAACTGTATCCAATAAAATTATTAAATGATAAAGGATTTATTTTTGATACACATTTAATCGCTTGCAAACATATTTTGACCACAAAAAATGAAAATGACAAATCATCATACATCTCCCGTGTGCTTGTTTAACATGTATGTGTTTAATCCGTGACACGTGATAGGATAAACACCGGCGCGTGCCGTTAAATAATCAAATTATCGGTATTACATGTATGTGTTTATTCAGTGACACGTAATTGGATTAACACCGGCGCGTTCCGATACTAATCCGATTATCGGTCATTAGAAAGGTATATACATGTATTATCAATAAAACATAATTTTTTTTTTTAAATTTTGTTATCAGATGAAAAATTTGTATTTTGCAGGTATCAGTAGAATAGATTATTACAAGGCACGTAAACGTTTAAGCGTCGTACAGTTCACTTGTAGTATTTGTAGTGACGCCCCTTCAGATGAAGCAACACCTGATCTATTCGACGTTACACGTCATGCGCAAGATACGTCAAATGTCACTGACAGGTAATGCATTGAAAAAAATTTAATTAACATAAATGCTTATCACGGTGAATAAATATCAAGTAAATATATCTGCGTGTGTATATGTATTTTCGTGTACTTTTTAAATGTTTTTGCAATATATATTATATCTACGATTTCTTCATATAAGCATGCTAACATATCCTCTGTATTGAAGGGAAGTGAACAGAAACATGGACGCAAAAGTGATGGACCTATGGGACATGTATGACGCTCATGATGTTGTTTGTGAGGAGTTCCTTCTAGAAATAGGGTCGATCTACGGAAACTTCTAGACAAGGAAGTGTGTTATTGGACGCTGTAGAGCAATAAGACATACAAAAATACAGTTTGAAAAAGTGTATATATTGTAAATAATGTAGTTCTTACATACATGTATATAAATAAAGTGATAGTGTCTGCGTTTTCTATGTATTGTTGTTTCAATGTAATGTGTGTATGTAATGTGTGTATATGTATATTTATTTGTGTTACTGTGTTTGTAAAAAATATACATAAATTATTAATAAACGGCTGAAAATGTTCTAACCTAGTCATTACTTTGTGTTTTATGTAATTAAAGCACGGACTTTCCTAATATAACAATACATTAATTAAGGGGTCGAAATGTCCGGTATATTTAAGGGGTCTAAGTGTCTAAGGGGTCTAAGTGTCAGGGGTCGAGATGTCTTAGGGGTCGAGGTGTCAAGGGGTCGAGGTGTCAAGGGGTCTAGATGTCATACACTCATTTAACCAATCAGAATGGTTTTTACATAAAATTTTGGTAGAGTGAACCATAAATCAAAGTTTTGTTCAGTCATTTCTTGGATAAATAGAAGACTTTAATTTGTTTTGCATAAAAGATTGCAATATATTTCACAGAGTGGAAAGCATCTGATGCAGTAATTTAAATGGGTTGCATATATAGCTTAAGGGAAAAAAAAGAACAGCAAGAGTTTATGAATGAAATATAAATTCATGTGATATGCAATACAAATTTTTTTTTAATATTATGTACAAGTGCTTTCCCCAGAGCTTAGCCATTTGACATGTAGCATCACCTTGTTGTCTACACCAAAAGTTTCATAAATTGTGGTCCAAATTGGTACTGACAATGAAGGGGGGTCACATAGTTTACATAGACCTACATGTATATAAGAAAAAGTCTTTTTGTGTGAAAATAGTCAATGCCAAGAGCTCAGATTTGATCATGCAGGTCTTCTTTATATACTTGAACTGTCGGCTGGATTGTATATTTTACAAAATTTTGAATAGTTTAAAGAAGCTTGATTTTTCTTCTTCTTTTTTTGAACAATTATTTTCTCATCTTTAGATATACAGCTGTCAAGAAGTAATGAAAGAATGAATGAAAGAATTGAAATATTGACCCTATGGAATCTCTAGCTTCATGATTACTTTATATGATAGAATTGTGAAACTTGATTTTCAGCTGTGGAGTAATGGCTACAGACGGTCTTGAGGCATATAAAGGGGGAGTGTTTCAAGAATACCACATGTTCTCAGAGATCAATCACATTATCTCAGTGGTAGGATGGGGCGTGGCTTCAGATGGTACAGAGTACTGGGTTGGCCGAAATTCTTGGGGAACCCCTTGGGTAAGATACTTCAATTTTTTGTATAAAAACAATTTGGGAAAATGTGTTTACAATGCCAAAACTTTTTAAAATTTTGTGGCTATTAAAAACATCAAAGATCTGCAGCTGACGAAAAGTAAGCATCGTAAGAAGTTCGGTAGCAGTAGGATGTAATGTGGAATACGAGGCAACACAATAAATGCATACTTCCTGTCCACCATGGTAGTCTGAAAATACACATTGTCTTTTGTTTTTATTTATCAGGAGTTATTTTATCCTACAATTCTGTGTTTTCTTATTTTAACAGTTACGTTTTATTTTGTATCAATAAAGTATTTATGTGGTATTTTATATAAGTGTTTTACCACAAGTCCGATGATCTTTTTGATATAAGAATGGTAGTTATCAAACAATAGAATTAATCTTTCATGATTTACTTTGCATTTTCATGAATTCTAGGATTTTCACATTAAATAGTCAAATGATGCCTGATAAAGAGTATCATTTTACTTGAAACTAGTAGCAAATAAAATTATTAAACCCAACTTGGAATTGTATTTGTATTCCTCACCTTTTTCATTACAGTTTGAATAATCAATGTATGAAATCCATGTATATTTCATCTTTCATGCAACCCTTACTGGTATTTTAATCAAAGCAACGTAAGAACAAGTTTAACATTTTTATTAGATAACTGAAATGTTCAAACACAATTATTTCAGGGTGAGAATGGCTGGTTTAGAATTGTAACAAGCAAGTATAAGAATGGAGAAGGTAACAAGTACAACTTGGCTATTGAGTCACAATGTGCCTTCGGAGATCCCATTGTACCTAGCTCTCCTTACCATGTGAACCAACCGTGATAATCTGCATATTTAAACGGGCCTTTTTTTTTCGTGATATTTTCTTACTTTATTCTTAATTTTACATTATATACAATGAATATTTCCACTAGATTTCATGACACATGTATCTGCATGTGCCACCAAATTTTTTTTTGACTTCTTAGTGTACAGACACAATCAAAGTGAGTCTGCAATTTTCATGTAATTTTGTTGTGATTTATGCTTCCGAGGGATCACCTTTCTTCCTTATTTTTCTACAATTATTTTTTTTTTAAATTTCTATGATGTGTGTAACTACATTTCCACAAAATTACATATCTGGGTATGGCTACCAAATTTTTGTGATCTCTTTAAATTTATCGCAAACTTTGATTAATACTCATGGCAATGTACCGGTAAATACAATGGACTTGGTGCTTTAAATCTGTTGAACAAACAATATTTTGTGCTAAACAATTAAAGGTTGTTCAATAGTTAGTGATCATTTAAGTTTATTGTAAATTGTTTTATTATTAATTTTGTTCTTTTTGCAGAGTTTGACTCATGTTTAGATACTTTAGAAACAGTTTGCCTAGTAACTTTATTATAGTCTGTCGTATGTCTGAGGAAAGTAACTTTCTTTTATTTACAATTTCTTTAGTCAACATAGTTACATACTGTAACAAAGAACTTTATCCAGTATATGTCTATTCTTACCAGAATCAGACATACAGGTGACTTTTCTTGCATTCATTACATACATGCTTACCTGTATAAAACGGCTTTTTTCATAATCCTTACGAAGCTCCTTGTATGAAAATAAGTATGTTACATAATATGCTCATTGTTTTTTCCTACCAAGTTGAGCTAAATTAGCTATTTATTTAAAAAAAATTGATTTTCATAATGGAGATTCACCAATTATTGATAACAGCAAACATTTTCGGATAAAATATTTAAACTGAAATCGAAAAAAAAACTACCCTAATCTTATTATCAGTTGAAGGATACCAATACATTCCAAACAACATTTCTGTGGGTTACTGATTGTTCTTGTGGTATGAAATAATCATGACAAAATTAAAGCTTTGTTAACTTTTAGCTGTACATTCACCATTTACACTTGCATAGACTTTATTTTACTGTTAAAGCCCAATATTTTTTCAGTATTTAGAACAGGTCTTTTGTTGTGAAAAACAAAAAACAACAACATTATACATGTAGATCTAGAAGTGATGTAAAATGTGCAATACCAGTTATGCTATGCAAGTTTTGTGTATTTAAGAAAAGAAATAAATAACTTCTAAGTGTTGTTACAGAGTTCATCAATAAATATTTTTACATTTTACTGTGTTTGGGTCTTGTTTTGTTATACATGTGAAATACCCTTTGTTTGTAAATGAATTATGTATACATGTACTATAAATATTTGGCATGAAATAACTGCTTGTAAACCCCCACAAAAGTTATGTACATCATACTGCTTTTGTCAAAATTGACCCTGCTTAAAGGTTCACCTAGATAATTCTATATAGACATACATGTGTAAAAGTCTGTTAATGAATTATGTACAGCATAGGTATTTGGCATGAGTTCTTTGCTTATGGTCCTCCGAAAAAAGCTATGTACATCATGTCCATTGTGTGAAAATTGTTCTGCTCCAGTCGCAGTTAATTTCTACTTACATAGGAACACACATTTAAACCCTCTTGTTGTAAACTACAATGCCAAGAACTTAAATATAATCGGCTTGAAGCATTGCCTAGTGCATCTCTACTTAATTTATATTGGTATAAATTACATCCCTAGTGGTTTCAAAATTATGATGGACTTCTGTATAAAAATACTTCCAAGTCTTCATGTGGTAAACTACAATGCATAGAGCTTAAATATTTTGCATGTACAGAATTAATTTAGTTCAATTGTGTAGGAAGCTAAAAGCTTATAAACAAACTCTTAAACCAGCCAGTACTGCACGAGAGTAAATGCTCAAAGAAGCAAAGGCTTTTTCTTAATTGGGTTTGAACCCACACAAATAGCCTGGGGTTTGAACCCACACAAATAGCCGAGTAGACAATCAGTCCATCATGTTAACTACATGTCCATGTCATTTGTGGCAAAGGGTGTATGTGTGTGTGTATCTACAACTCATTCAAACCTTGTTTTTGTAATAACCAATAACTATAGGCTTCTGGTCAAATAAATTACATAAAATCACATAATCAGTAGATCAGACTTTAAAATAAGACATTAGAAAAGAAAGTGGCTTTTACAGTTTTTAGTTTAAATACTGTTTTATGTTAAAAACTCGAGTGTGAAGAAATCTTGCATCTTATTTTGAACTGCTCTGTGAGTCTACTTCCTACAACTTACCAGTACTGGTTTTAATTGAGGAAACAAGGATACTCGCCAAGTAGTGAAGAAACATTCTGGCCAATGCTCTCCGTGTCAGAGTATTTTATGTAAAATTTTACGCAAAGAACAGGAACGCATCTCTTCAATATTTTCATTAAAAACCTTTTTTTCTTCTTTAATATTTTCAAACATTTATTCTTACACGACCCGCATTTTTCCTATTTAACATAGAAGAACCAAAAGTGTGTGTTATTATGCTATAGATCACTGTTCTATATTTAGATATGTGACATAATCATTATACACGTGACGTAACCACTAAAAATGTGACGTGCTGACAATAAGTACGAAAACAAATTGGGCGCAATTTAGCATAATATCAGGTACGGCAGCATTTATTTGTTGATGATGTGTTAGAATCAAAATAATATATCCAAATCGGTGAGCCATCGATATATCCAAATTGGTGATTTTATTGCTTGATAAAATCACTGTTGTCGTTCGAAATCCAAACAGTGATGTTATTGAGCAATAAAATCACAGTTTGGGATATATTATTTCTTAATTAACCTAGAGAAGTAATAAAAACAGGAAAATCAGACTGTATAAATCATTTTATTCACATCAGAAAGTATGAAAAAAATGGAATATTCTGATAAATAGAAGGAAAAAAATACAAATTTATACATGAAACAATAATCATGTGACTGACTGAATTAAATAGCACCTAATTGGAACACAAAAATAATAAATACATGCAGAACTTAAAAAATTTATATACCATCATATAGCATGGCAGTTTTAAAGATAAACAAACATAATACTCGTATATGTACTAAATCTTCCTCAAATTTTACTTTAATTACTGATGCATGTATATTAATCACATCTTTTACTCACTGTTTTTATTTTTATCTTTTTTATTTGTACAGATCTATATTTAATCTGTTATTATATCTTCAACATGACCTTATGATCAAAGAAATTGTTAAGAACTGAATAATAGTTTGATACATTTTATAATATTTTCTATTGTGAGGGCAATTCATCACTTTAGTGTACAATACTTGAATCATGAATACATGTTATACCCCGATACCATTTTCCCTAGGAAAAACTGAAAGTTTAGAAGAGTTATTAAAACAGAACCATATCCAACTGATAAACAAAATTTATAAAAACAAGAACCGGTTGAACCGGGTGATGCTCCCCGAGAAGGTTCTGGACACAGGAAAGTATAAAAAAATAAACAAAGGGCAAAAACTCCAAAATTAGGCAAGGCAGAGTTATGTTTTTTTTGCACTTCACTTCTATTCAATGAGATCTATCTATCTATAAAGTTTCCTGATGATATCTCTTATAGTTTCAGAGTTATGTCCCGGGTAATATTCAAAGTGTAAAAATGAACAAAGGGCAATAACTTCAAAATAAGGCAAGGCAGAGTAATGATTCTTAAGCACTGCACTTCTACCCAATGAGACCTATCTATCTACAAAGTTTCATGTTGATATCTCTTATAATTTTAGAGTAATGTCCCGGACAAAGTTCAAAGTGTCAAAATGAACAAAGGGCAATAACTCCAAAAGTAGGCAAGACAGTGTTACAGTTCTTGTGCACTGCAAACCTACTTAATGAGATCTATCTACCTACAAAGTTTCATGTTGATACCTCTTATAGTTTTAGATTTATGTCCTGGACAAAGTTCAAAGTGTGAAAATAAACAAAGGGGAATAATTAAAAAAAATAGACAAGGCAGAGTTAAGGTTCTTGTGCACTGCACACCTACTCAATGAGATCTATCTACCTACAAAGTTTCATGTTGATATCTCTTATAGTTTAAGAGTTATGTCCTGGACAAAGTTCAAAGTGTAAAAATAAACAAAGGGGAATAATTCAAAAATTAGGCAGAGTTCTTGTTCTTGTGCACTGCACACCTACTCAATGAGAACTATCTACCTACAAAGTTTCATGTTGATACCACTTATAGTTTTAGAGTTATGTCCCAGACACAGTTCAAAGTGTAAAATAAACAAAGGGAGATAATTAAAAAATTAGGCAAGGCAGAGTTACAGTTCTTGTGCACTGCACACCTACTCAATGATATCTATCTACCTACAAAGTTTCATGTTGATACCTCTTATACATTTAGAGTTATATACCGGACAAAGTTCAAAGATAAAAAATAAACAAAGGGGGATAATTCAAAAATTAGGCAGGGCAGAGTGACGGTTCTTGTACACTGCACACCTACCAAATGAGATCTATCTACCTACAAAGTTTCATGTTGATAACTCTTATACTTTTAGAGTTATGTCCCATACAAAGTTCAAAGTGTAAAATAAACAAAGGGGAATAATTCAAAAATTAGGCAAGGCAGAGTTATGGTTCTTGTGCACTGCACACCTACTCAATGAGATCTATCTACCTACAAAGTTTCATATTGATACCTCTTGTTGTTTCAAAGTTATGTCCCGGACAAGAAAAGCGGACGGACAGATGGACAAGGCAGCGACTATATGCTCCCCCGAAATTTTTCGGGGAGCAGAAAAAAATTTCACAAAATGAAAGTTATGAGTGGCCAAAAATGCATTTGAGACAGTCATTTTGGACTTTAAATGACAACCCTGTAAGCTGACATGGTAAGCTTAGCAGATTAAAACAAATGTTAGCATTTATCATCACACAATCCAATAAACATACAGTTGACTCTCGGTAACTCGAAATCCAAGAGACTAGGTATTTTACTTCGAGAGAAACGGAATTCGAGTAACGTGGAACTACCGCCATTACGTTGACTTCGTACATGTATATACATGTACCTGATTGAATGTGCAAAGAAGTAGGTTTCTTATTGTTGTTAGCAGCAATGCTGCAATAATTAACCATTGAAATGACAGTAAATCACTTTCAACTACAAAATATAAATGAACAAAAATATATCATTCAAAATGTAATACATGTATATTAATAGTGAAACATAAACACACAATTATATTTGATTTAATTGATCATCGGACGAAAACGAAATTAGCAACTATCATGAACCGGAAGTACAAATTAATGTATGCAATATGACGGAACATTAATTATACAAATATCATTTACGTTGATAATACACATCAATACCTAGGCTGTTATTTGACTAGACTGTTATTTGACTAACACCCGTCAGACTGGCACGAGGAAATGTAATTAAATTTTAATTTAGTTATCTAACTGTTAAAACTAATTAAGTCGTGAAACGGATTAAAGACACTTTTACGACGTGTTAATAATACATGATGACCGGCAATTAAAAATTACTATGAAACGTGTAAATCACGAGTGACAACATCTCACCTTGACGTCGCCGACCTTTGATCAGTCGGCTGTTTTCACACTTAGACTAATTGAGATGAAAATATGTGGACTTTAATTGACGGGACCAAATTTTCTTTTCGACTAAACAGGAGTCTCGGTAAGTCAAAATTTGACATAAGCGGAGTTAAAATACAAAGATAAAGAAGGAAATTTGACGGGACTTTAGAAATTATTCGACTAAGGCGGAATTTTGAGTAAAGCGATTTTGACTTATTGAGAGTCAACTGTATTTCGACTTTGTTAAACTAAAAGTAGGATTTCCCAATCGTCACTCATGTGTTGTGCTTTTCCAGACTTTTCTGGAACAATTATAAAATGAACGAAATGTATTATATAAAAGAAGACCCTCTTTCTGAGTGTGAACAAAGGTTTATAAAGATTTGCACCATGTTAAACAATGTTAATGACTTTAAAGACATTGCTCTGTTTTTTAAGTAAAACTAGAAATGTGTCATCATGCCACGGATGCCCCCGCATGCAGCCAAAATTTCAGATGGTGCATTAATTATTTTTTTCATTGTAAGTTCAAAGCCCTTTAAACTTTAAAATGTTAACACAAACCATTTTCATACAATGTTCAAGGCACTGAAATTATTCAGTCTTAACCTTTTAAAAATAGCATATTGCATAA